TCCTTCAATAAAAACCAAATGTCTAACATGTTTTCGCAGATTTAACACAAATGATGCCACGAAAAACTGCTGTAAAACACGAGCACCAAAACCGCATTACCTGTTGGGACAAGCCAAACGGATAGATAGCCTGCGCAAGCAGCCACGTGCACAGAAGGCTATCGATCGGCCACAGGCAGCAAACACAACTTGCAGTCACAGCAATCTATAATTCAAAATTTAATCTGAATCTCAGGCCCCAGCCAATCGCGCCGGCAACCAAAAGCTGTTTGGCCCAATGGACCTAACTCACCGTCTTTTGTTACCCTAATTTTGTTGTACCTGACACACACTCAAGGACTTGCTCTGACTTGCTGTAACGTGCTTGTCTCAGTAAACTCCCTCTCTCTGGCCAAACGGTCCCCCCTCTGTCTCGCTCTTACGGTTTCTTTGTTTCGGCGTTCGACTTAATTAGCAGTACCAGGCGGGGGTCATAACAATTTGGTGACGCAGTTTTTCACTCTACAATGGAGGAATTGTGCGCGGACTTGCAGCTGATGTTGCAACAGCAGCTGAGGCTGATGGAAACCCTCACCACCAAGCTATCCACCTCCTCCACGGGCCAATCGAGTTCTGCTGGTGGCTCACAATATGTCGAGTCCATCGCCAGCAGCATCACGGATTTCTTGTATGACCCGCAGGCCCAGATTACCTTTGACTTTTGGTACAAACGATATGAGAATTTATCCTCTGTCGATCTGGCTGCCCAGGAAGGCGCATGGAAAGTACGACTCCTCCTTCGCAAACTGGGTCCTGCCGAGCAAGAACGCTAAACTAACTTCATTTTGCCCAAGAATCCAAGAGACATTTCCTTCGCGGACACGCTGAAGACGTTGTTGCAGATTTTTGGTGAGCAGTCTTCACTATTAAACACCCGATTCCAGTGTCTCCAGCTGTGCAAACGGGAATTTGACGATTTCATCACGTACGCCGGCATTGTGAGTCGCGAGTGTGGGCGTTTTTAACTCGGCTCTCTAACCGAAGACCAGTTTAAATGCCTTATCTTCATCTGCGGCCTACAGTCCCCCAAAGATGCCGACATCCGGACACATCTTATGTCCCACGTGCTACAGAGCAGCACAGTTACCCTCCAAGAACAGGCTGCCGAGTGTCAAGAACTCATTAATCTCAAGCACGATTCGGCCATGGTTCAAGGCGCTTCTACTGCTGGCTCCGTGAATGCGGTCGCAACAGCTAAGCCAC